TAAATATGTAGGAGAAAATGGAGAGATGGGCTGAGAGTACACTGAGGAGACCGTTGGGTGACATTGCACGCCAGGCCATCACCGTAGTGGACACCGGGTGGGAAACAACGAGTGGGTTGTTGTCCTAGGGTGACATGGAGGAGATAGCGCAAGGAGAAGGAGATGAGAGATTTTATGGGCAATGTCAAATGGATTCAAAGATAGCAAAACAGGACTTCTGTAGAGTGAATGGCATAAAAACCTAGTTCATTTCTTGCTGCTAGACAAAATCTTGACTAACGCTACACACTAATACAACGGAATAATTTCACAAATCTACACACATGGGAGTGAAACAAACAATACTCAATTTGCACACACCTGAGGAGTCGCCTAGTAGAAAGGGGGATTTCACACTTCACTTATACTACTACTACTAATCAGCTGTTTAGAGGATAATAACACTTTCAAAAAGTCATCTGAATTATACTGTGTGTATGCAGCACTCACTGAACGTTGGCATTAAATCAATGTTTCTAATCGGATTATATAAAATTCTACAAGAAGTAAGTTCGATGGAAAATATGCATTACCAGATAGATTTATTATTCTATTTAAGGATGAATGAATTCATCAGCTTGGTTAATAAAAGCATCTCAATTCCCACATGGTCTGAATAGAATCACCCACGTTTACTGAAAACATGACAACACATACAGACCGCTCGAAATATCGTATGGGAAGATCACTGGAAAGAATGCCAAAGCACATGTCATTACACCTTATCAGTAGCACTCATGAATCCAATCATAACGATTCTTGCGATTTTTAAAATTCGATCAAATATGTGCTATTACCAATTAATACTACGTTACTCTCTTTCATCTTTAGATTTAAGTCACTCAGAAACAATTAATAATCATTGGAAAAAGCCTTTCACTAGCGTAACTCAAAATCACCTCAATGAACACTAGTGCAGGTGAGAAAAACCGTTGTCAGCAGAGGAAAGTATGTTACTACTATGTTAAGCTGAATCTCTACACGAATGAGGTTAACAACAATGTACGACTAATTACATCCTGGTACATTTTCTCTCACACAAACTGCTAGATTCAAGTAGACTCAAACATTGTTGTTCGAAACATGTATTTCTAAACCAGCAACTAAGAGTTACTGTGAATACCAATATACAACTATAATGATCCAACAAAAGGTATCATGGATTAAGCGTGTAATTAAACATAGAGCTGATTATTGAATGCCAATCAATCTGTGAGACATGAAATTTCGGAAGACGTTGACTGTTAATAATCCACTATCTAGTTACATATAACACTTAGACTAATAGGACACTGACAGTAATTTACTCCCCATTAACATGTTCATCATAGTTGTTACAGTAGCTTTATCCGTCGTGTATAGTTAGCTATTTACACGCACCAACATAACTGTTCGGTACACACGAGTAAAATGTTATTTACACTCCACATTCTGTACACACTTCTCACTCGATGATGATGGTTGTCCCTTTGAAGTAATAGCAAACTAAGGCGTAAGACAAAGCTGCTTATATCATAAATGATGTTTCTGATTGTAGCGGACTGAATCAAACGGCACACCATGGGATGTAAGAAAACAGAAATTGGCGGGACCAGTAAAAACTTTAGCAGGTGTGGACTTCGTGGACGATTTATGTTTAATTTCACAAACACTCTAAAATCTACTAGCTGACGGAAGAAGTTCAAGTGGACACTTTTACAAGGACAGGCAGCATCGTTTCAACTACAGGTGTATGGAAGATGATGATGTCAAAACCAGTCAAGATCACAATGGGAAAATGAGACAGACATTCATTGCTCTTAAATAAGTATGCGGATCTCTACAGCACGTCGTACAAGTACAAACAACCGAATTTTTAAGACTAGTCTCAAGTCCGCCAGTGCTTCTACATACAATCATGGAAACCATTTCCAACAGGCCCACTAAGGACTTTCACCAACATCTGCCTCCTCTAAATACCATACCAACGTTATTATAACCTTCTTGAAAACAATTCGTTAGACTAATGAGTAGAATCCGGGCAATAAAACCATAGGATACCATTTCATTGGACAGAACTACCTAAGGAACAAACAAAAAAAAACAATTAGTACATACAGAAAACATGGAATATAACAGATCATAGAATTATGAAGGTGGACAAGATGTACACATCGATAATACGTTAAACTGGACCCCCCATCCCCCGCAAAAAAAACAATTTACAACCAACTGTTAACTTTTCAACTTTCGATAGAAACTAAACGAAGTGAAACAACATTTCTTAATTACCTTCTCGATTGGAATGCACCTCTGCTTTCAAATTACTCTCTCTCTCCCTTTCTAGTTCAGACGCAAACTGGAAAGTAATTTTATTTTCAAAACTACTTCCTTTAAATTATTTGACGATGATTATCTGAAAACTATTATCAAATCAAATGAAATAATCACATTCTCAGTTTGAGAATACTGTCAACAAAATATCTTACTTCAAAAAAATACACACAGGTTACATTCTGATCAATTGACTAAGTGAGAGCTCATTAGTCTCACATGTAAAAGACATACAATTTAGACTGATAGATAAAACACATTGGTCAGTTTTCCCAGGAATTATTCTGTTCCGTAATCTAGTCGTGATTGCTTTATGGAACTAATCATCACCTACTCAAACTAAATAAAATACAGAAGTCCTTTATTTGAGTCAGTATCTCCATGTCAAAATGTACAAGCAAGAAACAACACGTTATTCAACACTAACTTCGGACAAAAGGATATCGGCCAGCCTTGCAGTACTTCTAAGAGAACGAAGACAAAATGAAGACACAACGTTTATTACGTGACAAAAAGCATAATTAATGTTACCAGATAGGAAAATATATGAGGCTCTACTGTCAGACAATTTAATGTCAAAGTATGAGTACACCCGAACTACTGAGATTGTTTTCAAGCATAAAACTATGTACTATTGATGCACAAATTATTCATAGAATCAACCTTAACAGTTCGAGAAACAGTCAGTGACAACAAAAAATCAGTAGAATTCAACATCTCTACTGTTGTTACCTTTTCTTTTTATATCAATCAAATTCTTCAGATACCACAAATAAAAAAAAGATGAATGCTTGCTTGACATGAGTGTTATACAATCAAGTATTAATAATATTTTGTTGCACGATAACAGTTTAATTGATTGAATTATTCAGCGAAGAAAAGTGCGATAATATTGGTATATTTGACTGTGAGTCACAATTGATTAGGTATACGAGAATGAATAACTGAATAAATACACAGAGGTCAACTTAATGTTCAATAGACATGAACGAAATAGATGGTAGGAGAATAAAGCAGACCAGGATAGGTTAGAAGAAAGAATCAATCCAATATACTTAACTTCAGACTTGATTTCTATATCAGTGTCATCAATTTTGCAAGGGTCATAGGAACCAACAGCTTCATTTAACTTTCGTTTACATCGGAAACTGAAACTAACAGTCTGGCATTTGGAAGGATTTAGTTTGAGGCCGTTACATGAAGACAATTCGCTAATTCCTGATATAAAGCTGTTCATCTTAGCACAGTCTAGCTGGGAGTTAACATACGTTGAAATAGTTAGATCATCGGCATACTTAACAAAGTTCATTTCATCAGAGTGAGCCAAATCATGCAAAAAGAAAGAAAACAGAAAAGGAGAAATTACAGCACCTTGAGGGACATCAGCCTCAGTAAGCAATGAAGTGGACGAATTTCCCTGACTGACATACAGTGCACTGCTTTCTTCCCGAGAAATAAGAATGCAGCCATTTGACAACGCAACAGTCAGTCTGAGTTTCGGCCAGCTTGTTTAACGAAATGTCCCTAGGTACTGAGTCGAAAGCAGATGTGTAATCTAGGAAGGTGCAGTGAACAAATTTAGCCCCCTTGTTTAAGCTGGAGACAATGTTATGGTACAAGACTGCAGCTGAATCTAAAGTACTTCTGCTGTGTTTATAAGCGAATTGTTCAGGATCGTTAAAAGCTTTAAGTGAAGGTTGAAGACTAAGTAAGAGTAACTTTTCCATAGCTTTTACAAAAAGAGACGTAATAGCAATAGGTCTAAATTTAAAACATGTTCCAGTAGACGACTTAGGGATAGGTACAATTTTGATGTCCTTCCAAACGGCTGACACGACATTCCTGGAAAAAGATTCGTTTAATATGTCCATGAGAGGATAACACAGGATGTCTGCACATTTTTTAAGAATAACACTAAGCAAACTGTCTGGGCCCAGGCTACAAGAAGGGTTCAGAGACTGCAGACATTTTTGAACATCATTTGTATTGAAACCAGGGAAGCAGGTTTCATTAACACTTTTAACACTAGAAAGTTTGGCATTTGTGAAAGAATATATGAAAGACTTGTTTAGTGTGCAAACATCAAAGGAATAAGGAATACTATTCATCTGCTTACCACCAGTAATTTCTTTGAAAAGTTTCCATATATTAGGCGCATTTTTACAGGATATAAACGTTTGGTTGTAAATTGAATTCAACCTGTGCATTTCAGATTTTATTAGGATGTTAATTCTTTTCAAACCAGTATTGTCCTTCAGTTTATATAGTTTTTCTTTTTGTCTGCGAAGCTTTTTAAGTTGAGGGTACGAGAAACGGTCAAATCTGATGAAGAGCGTTTCTCTGGGACAACAGGTGTCAAGACAAAATTTGAGATAACTTTTAGCATGCCCCTAAGATTCTGAACATTCTCTTTAGAGTAACATACATGTACAGTTTTCTTGGAAAGGTGTGAAAAAGTTCTTTTGTGTAACTTTAGGTAAAATCCGTATAATACAATGATCAGAGTTAAAGAGTGGGGCTCTTTTACGAGCTTCATATATTCCACGGTCATTAATAAATACAAGATCACGGGAATTATCCAGTCTGGTGGGAAAGTTGACGACATTTTCATGATCTAGCACTGTGAAAAAGCTGTAGTCACATGAATCAAAATCGCCTGTAACTATGGCCACTGAGTTTCCAAAAGAGAAGGCAGCGAAAATAGTGAATTCACCAGCAAACATAGACAGTTCTGAAGTGCTACAACAAGGTGTGACATAAATGTTTGTGATGTAAATGAATTCGTACTTAGATAGGTGTTTAGGTCCACATTTGACAGTTATACAGTTAATATTATCCTTTGAGAATTTAAAACAGACGTTGTTGGCAACAGACCACTGAGAATTGATAAAAGTAGCAACACCACCACCTCGCTTCTTCCTTGAACTTCTTCGGTCTTGTCTGTACATATATTGAAACCATTCAGTAAGATTAAATTGTCATCATATGAATCGTGCAACCAAGTTTCTTGTGGCGTTATTACACTCGTATTACGACAAATATTTGAACACAATAGGGCATACAAGTAATTAATCTTGTTCGATAATGACCTACAAATTGTGCTCATAATCACAGGAACAGTCATCTGATGCATTGGAGTACACTTTAAGGATCTTTACCACCCACCATAATGCTTTTTCTTAAGGTTATTATATACTCGTAAATCATCAGGCAATGGATAAAGGCACACACGACATTACGGAGAGGCTGAGCACTTCAAGGTCACATATTTATATTGTGATTGGTAGATTTTAGTTTGCGTAAACGCTGCGGCTAATACGTACCACAAGTTCCTCAGGTGGGCTTTAAAATGATATTAATAAAAGTCGCATAAACATCACATTTTTCAGCTTAATGAGACAAGTTAACATTTGTATAAATTTTAAAGATGTGATATGCATGTGGACCCACTAACAAAAAGAATATTATTCGGTAACTTAATCAAAGAAGTATAAAGTTTGAAGATTTAGTCTTTTTCAGTTGATTGTAACGGACGGATATGAGAGGCAGTTGTTTAATATTTGCATTTTGCAGAAGACAAACTTTTAAAGACAAGTTGGAAATTATATAATTCTTCAAATCTGTCATGGAATATATGGACTAACCTTACCGATTCTACTATTGTTCCCCTCCGTTGTTCACATATTCATTGTGGCTAAGATCAGGAATTGTTCACCTGAGGTAAGATTAACTCACCTGATATATATATATATATATATATATCCTTAGGTATTTCTCAGTGTGGTCGAAGGAATACAATGTCGTTCTTTGCATGGAAAAATCATAACCGGTTTCTTCTGCCCAGCTGGCATTTTTTTCGGGCGCATTGCAGACTTTTGGGGGCAGACTTCAGGACAGTGCCCCACGTACTTAGATCTACCCGAAGTTTTTTGCCCCAAAAAGTCTGCAATGTGCCCGAAAAAAATGCTAGCTGGGTGAAGGATCAGGTGGTGCTGAAAGCTGTAAAGACGGGTCCAGTGTCACAATCATCTGAGGGAAACTGATCCACATACTGTGGCTAAAACGATTAGTGAACTTTGATTTGACTATGATGTAGCAATAAAAAACTACAACTGTAATTTTTTCACTGAATTGTTTTAAACCCCCTTTTTAATGTGAATATGTACTGTTTGACTGTTGTTATCTTGTAAGCATATGCATTTATGATTTCATCATGAGCTGACATTAGTTAGAGAACCATAGGAAAACCTGGGAGTACTGGACAGCTGTTTCGTCCTAGTTTGGGACTCTTCATCAGTACGCAGTACGTCCCAAACTAGGACGAAACAGCTGTCCAGTAATCCCAGGTTTTCCAATGGTTCTCTAATTAATGTCAGCTCATGATGAAATCCTGAAACCAGTCAAATCCCTACAAACCAACACTTAAATATGCATTTATGTCGACTACCTATATCTCTCTTAATTATCATTTCGAGGAGATGGTATAGTTAACGAAATTGATCGGCAACGTAGTAATTTTTGTGTGAAATGCGTCACAGTGGTAAACCGTTATTATTTCCTCATCAAGCGTCATCAAGCCTCGCATGAAATGTTTCAGTTACATGTAATCCGGTTGCGTAAAAGATTATCTTTCATCAGGGCTATCGAAAAATTATACGTTTAGCTTACGTTTGTTAGGCGATTACTTACTACATATACATAATAACAAATGTAGGACGGCTACGTACATCGAAAATAACGTATTATAGGTATATCCTATTGAAGAAATTTAACCTAGTATTCTTATGGTGCGCAAATTATCACTATTTCAAAAAAAATCATTACGCATTCCAAAACTGGATACATCACTATTCATTCGACAAGCAAAGGGAAGTTGTAGTAAAAGAACACCGTTAAAACTTTTAAGGAATATTTATTTTGATAAATAATTTTGCAATATCACAAAGATTCCAACATCAACAGACAATTTCTTCAGTTGAACTACCAAATAAAGTGAACCAATTGCGTAAATTACAATTGTAACCTGCAAATCAACAACAGTAAAACATCTGTTACCTAGCTAGCATTTTTTTCGGGCGCATTGCAGACTTTATGGGGCAGACTTAGGGCGCATTGCAGACTTTTCGGGGCAACTTGATGAGTGGTTATTGGCTACAAATCAACCAATGGGAGTAACCCAGATGTACTTCGTCAACCAATGACAGTTAACTTTTGAGAACTGCGTTACAATGAATCTTAATTAGTGATTAATAATACATCATTTAAAATAATAAACTCTTTTATTATAAACAATCAATTAAATGTACGTTTACTATCTGAATACATCACCAAAGGCTGCTCCCTGAGAAATCTTTTACTGCACTGAAATCCTTCGAAGCGGTGGAATCCACCATTTTTATTTCCATTGCTGTGAGTTGTCTGCTTGTCAACCTTCTTTTTTATGAAGTTTTCCAAGTAATTATTTGCATACTTATATGTTTTATATTGCAACTATAACAGTACTGTCCATTTTTATTATTAGGCATAGCGTATAAGTTGTGTAGACTGTAGGAATCCGTTTTTTAACCGTTTTTCCGATTTCTTCTTCCAGGTAACATGAGCTCTAAGAGTTCTCCGTCAAGCATCACTAATACACTAAATGACAGCAGACCACCAGCTAATGTCGAACCATACCGCTGGAAGAATTCTAGACTACGTAAGTTTATTAATCAATATCTTCTTTGACGATGCAACGCTAGTCAATTTTGACTTAAGACGATATAAGTCAAAATTCTATCGTCGTCTCAAAAAGTACAATCTGGATTGGAAGAAGCGTGTAGAAGGTAAGCTTTTCCTTTCATAATAATGTTCACACAGAATTATATGCGAAAATTCGTGAAAGTGAACCACAGCTTGAAATAATGCCAGGAAACATGGTTAATTACCAAATAATTAGCAATGCAAAACTACTGCAAACCAAAGTACCTTTTTTAGGAAAACTTTGTTTTTTAACTGTGATCTTACGAATAAATCAACTAACACTGTTTTATGGCTGTAAACTCTTCTGACTGTTAACAAGTTTTCATAATTATGAGATTTAAAACGCCACTTCAGAAATTCCCAAAATATACTTCAATTACCTAATCGATTTTGGTATTTCTTAACGTAATCAACAATTTACACAGAGTTTTATCCATTTCATATGCAAAGAAACAACGATCGATGACAGACACATGTTCACTCAAACTGCTGTCACCGTCTACTTGCCACCATTTTCTAAGTTTTTCGTTAAAATATGGTACTAATGATGTATTTCAGTTGGAAAAAAACACCTGAAAACAACGTAGAACAACCCATAACACATAACGACACCCTTGTACTCCAGTAAGCTTCAGTGAACATTTCCCACCACCCAACTAACTTAAATTAGCGCGATTTGAAGGGGGTGGTGCGAGGATAACTGATCTGACGGTGAAATTATGAGGTTGTCTGTTGGGGTTTTAACAACAGAATGGCATTTCTCTTGAACGGTCATCAACCAGCTACACTGCCTCCCTTCTGCTAGAGGGAAGAATAGAATATATTGGCTTCAAAAAGTATACACACTGACTTAACTTGTAGGGTATATTTTCAGATTCAGATTTGTTGGTTGAGGATAGAAGGCTTAGAGCCTATGTTAATCCTTCTAGTCCAAACCCTTCTTGAACGAATCAGTTGAGGTTGCAGACATCACTTCTTCTGCGAGTCCGTTCCGAGAGTTTATGACTCGGTGTGAGAACCAGTACTCAACAGCAATATGATTTCCCCTTGGCTTTGAACTCTCCTGCTATGTCCTCTGAGGTGTTCCGGCTACCTAGTGAGAAGGAAAAGAAAGATTAGGTCAGGTCCGTAGTCATTATTTAAAACTTTAAGCATTGGGATTAAATCTGCTCTCTGCCTACTACGGTATGACAGGGAGAAGAGATTTAAACTGTCTAGTTTTTCCTCGTATGATAAGTTAGCCATGCTGTGAACCATACCTGCTGCCTTCCGTTGAACCCTTTCTAGAATGTGTGAGCCACCTTTTAGACAAGGACTGGCGGCCTGGATTCAGTTTTCGAGTCTTGACTTCACCAGAGATGTATTTAAGGAGGTGAATATATCTCCAGTGATTCTAGTAAAGGCTCAGTGAATCGCCCATAAATACCTGAAACTAAGTGCAGCCACCGCGCGACAGTGTGCTGTAGTTTTTAGGTTGTGGCTAACTATGACACCTAAGTCCAAGTGAGTCTGAACTGATGGGAGTGTTATTCCCTCTAGTTTGTAGGAGCTCGTGCTTCCTTGTCCAACGCGCATGGTTGCACATTTTGCCACATTTATCGGGAGCATCCATTCTATGGACCACTCTGACAGTTTGTTGAGGTCCTCTTGCCACGCGGACATATCACTGTTGCTCTTCAGCTCTCCCCGAATTTCCAAGTCATCTGCGTGTGGGACCATAGGGGAGTCGGTGAGCAGAGAAAGCTCATTGATATGCAAAATAAGTAGAAGAGGTCCAAGTTCCGTGCCTTGTGGTACTCCACTATGTACTCCTGTCCAAGAGGAGATTTTCGAGTTGATCTTAACCCTCTACCTCCTATCTACGAGGAATTCCCTGAGCCAGTCTAGTAATCTGCCTTTGATACCAAGACTTTCCAACTTCATGCGTAGTCTTTTGTGAGGTGCTTTATTAAAGGCTTTACTGAAGTCTATGAAGACTTCGTCAACGGGTCTTCTGTTGTCCCTTGATTTGACCCAGCTTTCTCTTGCAGTGAGGAAATTTGACAGGCATGAGAGGTTCTTTCGGAAGCCATGCTGTGCTCTAGATAACAAGCTGATGTTTTCCAGATATGCCATAATGATTTTCTTGGTGATTTTCTTCCAGTGTCTTGATTAAAGTGCTGATGAGACTGATAGGTCTGTAATTTAAAGGACTTTGTCTTGATTCTCCTTTGTGGATGGGGGTTATTATGGCGTCTTTCCAGTCACGCGGTAACACTCCATGTATTTTTTTATTTTTTATTTATTTATTTATTTTTTTGATTACAGCTTGATTCCACACTGTATTTTTGGTACAAGTATGGAATTTTCAGCGTGGATATCGGTAGCCCGAAATTCTCAGGCCGACCATAGATAACAGGTGTGAGTCGGCGTGGGCTCGAATTTCGGACCATGTGCATGGTCGGCGAGAGTCCTAACCACCGTGCCACTGAAGGTCGTGATCAAAGGGCCGGGTATGTGAGCTGATAGCTCCTTGAGAAGCTTGTCTTGCTTTTCCGATTCTGGCTTTGATATCCTCATCAGTTCCTCCACAAATTGTCAGGTGTCTTTGGCTGAATGCCGTCAAATCCACAATCACTGTACGTCATCAAGGGAAACAAACAGTTTTGTGTCCAAGGCGATAGATGGTCAGACTGCACTGCTTGCGTTTGCCAGATGATGAATAGGAGGTTAAATGGCGAATGGTGACTAGCAGTGGAATCCAGTTCAGGATAACGCGCGTTTCGTCCGTCCTATTTGGGACTTGTCAGCTATCGGGGTGTACCTGTATTCCGCGGTGAGTCAGTGATGATGTTCCCACTGAAGCCCCATAGATTCAAACACCATCCAAAGCGTTATCCACTAGATCACTTGGGCCACGTGTACCATCTCTTGTGCAACATGTCATTTAATTTTAGAACATCATAACTCGCCCCAAATAGGACGAAATGCCCATCGTGGATTCTACTGCTAGTCACCATCCACCTAATAACTTTTGATTACATGCCCAAACATCGCTGACGCATCTGCACAAAAAGCCGACAGATATGTCAACCTGAGACCGAGCACTTTGGTCCAATCAATCAATAGATGGAAAAGTCTTAAATTGAATTAAATGAATTGGAGGATTCCAATCAATAGTGTTCAAAAGAGAAGGGTACATAAATGAAGCGTACAAAACAGATAATGTTTCACTAGAAAAGAATATTTACTCTGCATCAAACAGAGTATTAATACAATGAATGTGTGAGGTTAGCTTCGACAGCTTCGACAAAAGTGATAGTTATAAAGTAGCAAATACAACTCATGTTACTTACTAATAACAAGTAGTATAAATTTGTAGACAAAAATAGTAACAAAGAGCTGATGAGAAGCGAATTAACACCGAACTATAAAAACCCGACTATTCTGTAACTTATAATTTATTATATTGTTATTATTTTTATTGTTCCCATGGCTTCTGAATGGAACATAGAGCTGCCTTCAAAAAAAAATCCCCACTTTGTTCTATTTCCTCTCTCCTCTTCAGCTGGATCCACAATAGCCCATAGTCTGTCTTATCTCCTCCTCGCATGAGATCCTCCATGTCAGCCTAGAACTACCCACTCGTCGTTTCCCATTAAGATTACATTTTAGCAGTGGCCTCTGGGAGCAAACCAACCAGGAACCGAGTGTGCAACAAATACGCAGGAAGAAATGGAGGTGGATTGGATTGACCATACTCTGAGGAAAACATCAAGTAACATCACTAAACAAGCCATCTCTCGAGTGAAACCCGAGTGCGAAGCGATGAGCTGGTCGTCAGTGCAAGGGTGGGTGACTTGGAGGAGGAGGTGATGTGAAGAGGAGATGAAAGCATGTGGGTAGACATTGACAGTTTTTGAGAGTTGGCTGGCACCTATTCTAATCCTAACCTCAACCGTAATCCTTACTCTAAGACAGGATGAGACTTATAACGTACACTATGGAAAGCATCTTTCTGTAATGTCGAGCGATTTGATTGGCTCATTCGAGGTCATTTGGCTGTACTGTATATATATATATATATATATATATATATATATATATATATATAATATTCTAGTATTTTTTGATTCGACACCAGTCAGTAAATAGTGTAATGTGTCTAGTCCTCGCCTCGATGCAGACTGAATTTTATCAGTCAGTCAAGCTTGCAATGTGACCACCAGTGAACTGTGAAATGTTGGTATTAGACGTTTGGTTGGGGGCAATCAGCCACAGGAAGCCTTAGATATTGTAGGGAAGATTTTTGTAGCTCAGATGAATGATTTTGATGTGGTTTTGTTCTCTGAGCTGACTGGATAGTTAATCTGTGAAGCTTTCATCACCCTACAAGGTGACATCTTCAGTGAATACTTCAATTTGAAGTGAGCGTTTTCCAAAAGGATGGATGGATATCCATGGAATTTCATCAAAAGACATATACCCCCAAGCCAACCAATCAAAACAAAAGGCCATCAAGGAAAGCACAAAGAAAATCGCCTAATCATTTATAAAGGATATCTCAGAAATCACTGCAAAACTATTCAAACCTTTAGGAATTGACATCGAACGCAAACCAACAAAATCACTTCACCCAGTACTACGTCAACCAAAAGACAGACTCAACAACGAAAGAAGATGAAACCAACATCATCTACAAAAGAAATTGTAACAACTTCGAAAAACACTAACTAAATTGCCCAAAGTGGACATCCTCTTCGTCTTCGTATCCACGAACATAAGCTAATCGTCAAAAGACATAACATCCACTTCCTCACTCACTCATATCGCCTCACTGCATACAGACAATCACGGACATCAATTCGACTGGAACAACCAATCAACGTTCAAATATTAGCCAGACAGGGGAAACAACACCGAGAATGCGAGAGAATATTTAGAAGCCTACCTGGTAGGTATTCCAGTGAATCATCAATCAATAGACACATCGAGATAGACAAAATTTATCAACCGATAAGAAAGAAACCTCACACACAAAGGGTCATAGTTCAAGTCAAAGAAACAATCACTTCCAATACAAGTAGACTAGAAGGCGTGTGAAAATGCACGAAAACAACCAATCACGGCGTCCAAGGTGGTCACCGACTAGGAGAGACGATTAATAAACTCGTGGAGAAATTCTAAAAGCTCACCTGACTTCAACTGGGACTGAAATATGCACTGAAGGAAGATGTCGCCTAGTACAGGGGGTGATGAAAGCTTCGGGAATTAACTATCGAGCTAGCTCAGAGAACACAACCACATCAATAACAGGAAAGCTTACCCTGACCTGTGTTTCGTGCTCTTTGGAACTCACTGGTCAGTCAGTCAGTCAGTCAGCAAGGCATATCTAGTCTTTGATAATACTTCTTATATTTTGTGTAA